GGTGTGAGCAGCAGGGTGAGCAGGAGGGTGAGCAGGCAGGGTGTGAGCAGGAGGGTGTGAGCAGCAGGGTGTGAGCAGGCAGGGTGTGAGCAGCAGGCAGTGTGAGCAGGAAGGGTGTGAGCAGCAGGGTGTGAGCAGGCAGTGTGAGCAGGAAGGGTGTGAGCAGGAAGGGTGTGAGCAGGCAGTGTGAGCAGGAAGGGTGTGAGCAGGAGGAGACTTTGGAGAGGAACCTGCAGCAGGAAGGGTGTGAGCAGGAAGGGTGTGAGCAGGAGGAGACTTTGGAGAGGAACCTGCAGCAGGAAGGGTGTGAGCAGGAAGGGTGTGAGCAGGAGGAGACTTTGGAGAGGAACCTGCAGCAGGAAGGGTGTGAGCAGGAAGGGTGTGAGCAGGAGGAGACTTTGGAGAGGAACCTGCAGCAGGAAGGGTGTGAGCAGGAAGGGTGTGAGCAGGAGGAGACTTTGGAGAGGAACCTGCAGCAGGAAGGGTTTTCACATAAGTATTTTACAAAAAATGTCCCTGCAGATCCAGTGCCATATTTATGTTGGTATAAACACAAACACAAAATTCACTGTTTAAAAATGTAATTTGAAGCAGCGTTCTTGCACCTGCCTGCAAGAAGTTGTTTAAAAAGCATTTTATATCCATAAACATTTGATTAGGGATGCTAAATAACTGCCAGCTATAGGCACTTCTGTCCAAGTTTTCCTATGTAAGTCATGAACAGAGTTTGTAATGTATCCCATTGTCCCACTCTCTACCACAAAATCTCTCCCAATCCCACAATTTATCATAAAAAAGCGTCACACCAACACTTTACAATCTGTACAATAAACCACACCCTCCCTTAAACTCTTGCATGGCAACAGAGGAGTGAAAACAGCATTTTCAAGGTTCAGGAACAACTCAAGAGTTAATTGAGTGTACAATATATTACTTGAAACCCCTCGTTCTCATCTGAATTTGTATAATCTGCCTCAACTCTAAACCCCTCCTGCTTTTTCTCTGTAGCTCTCTGGATGAAAGCAGCAGAAGATGAAGTGATGTTTCTGCAGAGGATCCAGGCGCTGAATCTGTAATCATTTAAGGATTTGAGGATTTAGAGATTTGATGGGCCGCCCTTCAGAGAGAAGCATCGTTTAGTTTCATCAAAGCGAGTCTCTCTGTATCCTAAACGGCAGACTGAGGTCTCAGTGTGGAATAAAACCAAGAAGATATAGAAACAGAACCAAAACATGAAGTGACCGAACCTCTTAAGGGTTACTGCAGTGATTAATGGTGTGCATTCATTTAAACATTTATCATCAGGAATGACCTGTAAAGCCTAAAAATGCTGCCTCAGGTGTGTGTGTGTGTTTTCCTCGCATGTGTGTGTGCGCGCATGTGTGTGTGTTTGCCTGGAGATACGGACAGCTAATCCATGGCCTTTTCCCACTGCTGCACCTGAGAAAGTGATGAATAAGTAATTTGCGGGGAACAGGTTGTGCAGCCTGGAGTGTACGGAGGTAGAGCATGGACAGATGGAGCAGAGAGAAAAGGGAACGGTCTGGGGAGAAGAGGACGAATAATAATACTGTGGGAAGAAGTATCCTGCTCCATAAGAAAAATAATAACCTTCCCTGCAACTTAAACATTGTGCAATACTGTTGTCTTTACTGTATGCATGTGAAATAGGCAGCATAATGCAGATTATTCACTTTTATTTTATCATTAAATCATTATTAAGTACTCAGATTTTTTAAGGTAAAGTAGAAATACAAATATTTAATCTTTTATTGCACTTTTTTTATTTAACATAAATACTTAATCTTCTGGTATTTGAAGCATCTTCATCTCATTCCCACCACTTTTCTTTCCAAAGATTCCTGTTTTCAGGCAGCGTCGGAAATTAACCAAATTCCTGCCGCTCTTCCCATAACGGACGCGGTTTACACGCAGACGCTCTGTTATTCTGATGCAAAGTGGGCTGGGCTGATAGCGAGGGTCCTTGATAAAGCTGTGAATAGAGGGGGGGTCCTTTCTTAACATCCCACAGTTCCCATTCACAGCAGATGAATAGACACGTCGGATCCAGTCTGAGCCCCCAATAAGAGCTGAACCTCAGGGCAGCATCGGCCAAGACAAGTTCTACTGAAAACATTTTGACAAACCCCCTTCTCATTAAAATGCTTTTCGGAGGTTCAATTAAGCACCATTTTGTGGAGGATAATCTTGACAATTATACGATCGAAAACCAGATTATCCTGTCGAGATACAACAGCAACAACACGATATGCAATAAAAAAATTAAAATCTACATACGTCAGGATTATAACTCTAAACTTTATCAGGCTGTGACCTACATTCCCCCTCTTATCTCAACAACAGCTGGAACCAGAGATAATTTGACTTTATAGTTTAATAATCAATAAACCAATCACATCTACTCATAATTGACTTTGAAAAAAAGCTTTAAAAGGAAAGAAAAGTTAAGGATTATGCCTCTTGAACTTTAGAAAATATGTCTTTTTTTGTGGTTTAACATCATACTTAAATAGATCTAGAGGAAATTCTCAAAACAAATCTACAAAGAAAGAGGTAACGTGAATATCCAGTCCACTCAATCAATTGTTTACTACATGCAAAGTCAAATCTTGAAAGTAGATGATTAAGATCTTTGGTCCGAAAGAGAAGCAGGACGTTTGACAAACTTTACGAAACACCCAAACAAAGACATGACAGGCATCCTGCACGGTGCCGATCCAGTGGGTCGAGCTTGATGGATGAACCCTTCAGTTTATTTGATTTAGCCGCGGCCCTTCTCAGCTGCAGACACTGAAAACGCGTGAGAAAGCTTTTTCTAATCGGGCAGGTCCAAGGTGACCCGCGGGTCCCTTCAGAAGAGGCCTTACAGATATCCATCACCCCCACTGACCCCTGACAGTGCAGAATGAGAGCATGAGGAGGGCGGTGACATCAATCATAACGCTTTCTGAAGCTGTAGCATCCATCATAGGAAGAGAAGGTAGAGAAATTGAAAATTGAAAAAATGATATATCCCAAAGATTCTGGGATGTTATTCAACAGTTTAACATTTCCTGCAGCATTTTACCCATTTTACTTAATTTGTATTGCACTATTTCTTTTTTTTATTTTGCATTAATTATTATTATTAATATTTTATTTTATTTCACCTTTTACCAATTTTGCTTATTTTTGTATGCCTTTTATTTAATTAATTATTTTTTAATTTCCTGAATATATTGTATTTTGAACTGTCAAACACTAAACCATAGCTATTGATTTAAATTGAATTAAAGCATGAGGGGTTGTAGAATCTAAATCTGGTGCTGCATTCTGAAGCTGCACACACACCTGATTTAGTTTGTTGCATGATTAAGTAGGACAGTTGAATTCAATCTGTTAGAGGGGGGTCTCCTCTCACAGCTGTTGCTCCAATTATCCGCCTTGTTGTAAACTTTGGTCGCTGCTTTCAAAAGTTCCCCCAGGCATCGCTGAGGGGGAGCAGATCCTGCAGCATGTTGCAAAAGACACCTTCCCTGCGTAGAGCAGGACGTTCTCTCATCATTTGTAATGTTTTAGAGGTCATTATATTCAGCAACTGTTTCCGAATATGTTGGCTTTTGCTCATTTTAGATACCAAGCAGTCCCATTTTAAACTCTTATCTTCTTTTTTTTTGTCGAGTGTGCACGTCAAACTCATGATGCACAGAGGTCACGACCTTTGACTCAACCCTTAAATATACAGTATGAAACAGCAAATATATGTGACTTCAAAGCCAAATCAGTGAGGTATTTCCCTCTCTCAAACACAAGTGTCTTTAGTTCATCTTCACATGCAGGGAGTCTTCTCTTCATGCGTTTCAAAGCTTATTCTGAGGCATTTGTCTTCCTCCTGTGGTCTTCCTCCTGTGGTCTTCCTCCTGTGGTCTTCCTCCTGTGGTCTTCCTCCTGTGGTCTTCTCGCTGCGCTGTGTGCACTGACAGCAGCTTCATTCAGCGATTCAGTCAATGAGATGAAAGAGGAAGCTCTTTGTGGCTAATGTGTGGAATAAAAAACGCTTTTTATGCACTTTTAAATCTTGTGATTGTCATTTAAAGCGAATAAATATCCATCAGGTACCAGAGCGGTTACAATATAATCAACTTTCTTAGATGAAATCACACTATTTTTGCATTCAAAGGACAAACCATTTCCAGATAAAGCTTCTGCTGTTATTCTTATTATTATGAATAGTGCGCAGTGACAATTTAATTTAATCACCAAAGCTTTAATGAGCAGCTTCTCTTGAGCAGAGCACCACGAGTCGTTTCCCTGCCGCTCCACTTTATGTATAGAGCCTGTTGATCGTGACTGTCCCCAGGGCCGCTTTGATCACGCTTCTGATGCTCGGTTTGTGGAAAGATGTTACTTTATTGATAATAAAAAGCTAAGAAGCAGTCTGATTTTATTTTATTTTTTAGCTGTGTTTCCTCTATTGGAAATGTCTTTAAAATAAATCAGGAGTGGATTTAATGAATCAGTTCAGGGTCCATATTGAAATGACCACTATGACAAGTAGAAGAAGAAATAAAAAGAATAATGGATCAAGAACAGAGTTTACACTAAAGGCCAGGTCACAGTTAAACTTGGGTGAACTTTGACAGGCAATCCGCTCCGTTGACCAACAGCTGACCTTTTTAAGACAGAGTCCAAAATAAGGTTAGCTAATTTTGGCTTAGCCTATGCTAACCATGGATCAAGTAAATGTACTAGAACATTATTTAACTATAATTGAGTGTCAACAATGGGTTTCAACGCCTTGCTTGACAATAAGTACATCAATGAGTTTCTTCACTTTTTTAAAGCCCTTAGATTATAACAAAATGAAATGTGCAATAACACATGTTGAGCACAATTGAGCCCTTTGTTGTATTTTGGTTGTCAAAACAACACTTAAAATAAGTGTGTGTGCGGGCGTGTGGCCACGCCCACTCCCAGTGACGTCACACACTCCTCTCCACCACGGTGCTTCAGTCCTCCGGCAGACCGGAGCAGAGACGGACGTTAACCGGCGTGTGTGCGCGTCTTTCACCGCTAAAAACGTCCAGAACTGTGGAATAATACTCTTATTTTGACCTCTTAATAACTAATGTTATTTGTTTTGGTCGTTAAGCCTAATGACACGGAGGAAAAGGAGAAGAAGTCTCTCCATCAGCTCTTCACCTTTTCACTTTCCCACTGTGAGCGTCTTCCAGCCAGCAGGAGGTCAGTTCACATTTCACACTCAGTTACATTTAATTACCTCTAATTATCTTTTTACACCAATCATGTGCTCTTTTTGTGGTTAATTTAGCAAAACAGAGTGTGGAGAGTCATTCGGATTCACTCAAATTAAAATGTTCTATCGTATTATTTTGATATTGTCTGTTTCCATGGCATTTTCATGCATCTTTATAGCTACATGAAATGCCTATTATGACTATTTAAGTATGATATCTGTGTTTCTATATTGATATCATGATTGTATAATGGCTTATTCTGAGTGTATGGTGCCTAATAATTACATGTTTTGTTCATTTGAATGTGTTTTGTTTTGTGTGAATGATGATTTATTGTATTTATTCTCTAAACACTATTTATATATTTAAATTCAAAGCTTTCTGCACATTTGTTCCATTCTTTACTTATTTTATGAATCAATGTGTCTATCTGAATACACAATACAGAGAATACTGAATATTCACATATTAGCACGTTTCTTTTAGAGGAAAGCTCATTAGCAGATGGAGGCAAAGTGAATTATAAGTTTGATAATTAGCACTATACGTCGTCAAGTGTGTGCACGCGGTCAGACGCACGTGCACGCTCCCTCAGCCCTGCCAGTAAGGTCATCAGATAATCTGAAAATCCTCCTCTCTCTTTCTATCAGCAGCACACACACTGCTGCCGCCTGCAACTCTGCTTAATTAGATGCAGAGTGATTTGCTGTGTGTGTGTGTGTGTGTTTCCTGAGGGTTCTGATACGGCTTCTTCCTCTTGTCCTTTTTCATCTTCCCCCTTTTTGTCTCCTCTTCTTCACTTTTATACCTCTTATTTCTGTATCTGCTTATACCTGTTCTTCGTCGTCTCCTCATTCTCTTTCTCTCATTCCTTTCCCCCATTTTTTTTAAACTATTTGACTGTGGACGACATTTGCATACTTCCCTCTTCGTTTCCTCTCATCTCCTCTTCATCACTTCCACTTCCCCTTCCTTTCTCTTTTTCATGTTATCCTCCTCTTTCTCTGCTAACAAACACATGCACACAAACTCATTTAAAAGTGACACTAAACACCTTCACACACACAGAAAACAACTCATAGCATACCATACCCCCCCAAACACACAAACAAACACACACACTCTGTTGTCTTTCCCCCCCTCGAGGCTAAGCCTGAAAACTAGCATGTCATCGTTTTCCTGCTCCGCTCGAAGGTGCGCTCCATTTTGTAATTAATGCCCTCTCAGCACCACACACACACACACACACACACACACACACACACACACACACACACACCCCTTACACACACACAGTATTGTTTTTCTCTGTGTTGATATAAAGCTCATAAACAAATATATCTTGATTATAGTGATTAAATAAGATGTTAAATACAAAAACTAATGCTATAAAACAACGATAATATACACAAAAACGTTTGTAAGGTTGAGAACAACTCTAAGAATAATGTAAAATTCAAATTAGAGTGAATAATTTGGACCAACTGGTGTAATATATCTCACTTCATTAATCTGCATTATTACACCATCAGTTAAAAACAGTCTTTTCATGGAATTATAAATGTCAAATCTAGCTGTTTTTTAAATTACATTTCCATGCACAGTTTATCAAATGAATGCTTTCCCCCCTGCTGAGAATAGACTTTGGAAGTAAATTATAGCTTTAAAAACTCATTTTCTGCCCTAAAGTTGACTTGCTGACTTGTTAAAGGGGACATGTTGGCCTCATTTTAGGTTCCTGTCCTGCCGCTCAGAGGTGGAAGCAGCACTAAAACCAGGCACTTAGCGTTTACCTGGAAATCCATCCTGAGGAGAGCGCAGAGATTGTAATATTTTACGGATGAATTTCCCCGGTGATGAATGGTGGCACACTATAGTTGACTACATGCCAACTGCGGATTTATTATTTATTTCTTTATCTTCTGATACTCTGCAGAGTAAAAAATAAAACCTGGTAATGTTACAAAGCTGCAGCAGGGCAGTGTGGACAAAATCTCCAGGAAATAATAGATTTATTTGCAAAGAAATCCTCAAAAATGCATGAAATTAAACTCCTCAAAAGTCACATTTATGCAGAGTTCACTCATAAGCCTCAGGCAACTTCTACGGTGGCCCATAAGGGACAATCTGTTGCCGGCATTTATCAAACTTCCAAGGACATCATTTCCCTGAGCCCCTTTTTCCATCCATTTCTTCTGCTGGTTCACCGCCCCCACATTGGAGGTGTGAACACTGACCAGATGCATGCTGGGAGCAGAGCTGCATCGCCTCAGGCCACAACAGGGCAGTCGTTTAGGTACTTGTCTCAAAGTAGACCTAATGTTTTTATTTCCCTGAGGAAAGGACAGAATTAAACCCAAGTGCCTGCTCACAGTTTCCTGCAGGATAAATGAATGAAAAGGAATTTTTGTTGCATCACGTTTAAGATAATTGACTTTGTCTTGAGGCGACAACCTGCAGCAAAAAAGAGGGAATGACTGATCTTGCAGAGCTCATCACACTGACTGAAGAGTATTTTGGTTTGTTCGATGGTGATGTAACAGACATCGAGCCCTGTAGCTTCCTCTCTTTGATCTGGGATTAGTTTTTGGTTGGTACGCTTATTCAACAGTGGGTAAAGTCTGAATATTAAACACTGTTGGTTAGGTTTGACATGATTCTGTTGTTTCATTCCCCCTCCTGTAATCTGCTCATTTTAAACAGCTGTGATGGCAAAGTGATAAACTCTCCTCGAGCATACGGAGGCTGGAAATGGTTATTATAGTGATATTCATCCAGGGATTAGACCAGGCCGCCGCTCGGCTAATTAAACGTTCTACTCCCCGCTTCGCCTCTCCATCAGCCTGACTGAAATGAGTTTATAACGCAGTGTATTTCACAAACTCGTGGGGGGGAAACATATATTTCCAATCTTGAGGAAGGCTAACCAGGAGCCCTGCAGCAGTTTTCTTAAATCTCCTGAGAGCATCTTGATTTTCTTCCTGTAATAGAAACGTCTCTTGCAACGTGAAGTAAAGCAAGTTCATTTCCCCAAATGCTGAATACACTTTGTCTTGTTGTTCTGTATCCATGCAGGGTATCACAGTCTTGTTTTTGCAATTATTATAATTTTCACTCTGCTACATTTATTTTACTTTCATATCATGTGTTTACATATAAACTATGCTGATAAGATTTCATGCAGTACTAACTAATAACCCAGTATTTTATCTAAAGCTGTCTCCCCATTGACAAACTAGCATTAAAATGCTTTTATGTCATGGTAATGAAAACATAAAAAAAGTTGTTCTGCATACTGAGAACTTTTCTTCACCCAAAAGCATAATAGGGCCTCTTTAAGTAACATTTTGAATGCAGAATTGATTTGTAATGGAGTAGGTATTTCTACTTTTCCACCTCTAGTGTTTTTTATCGTAGCTTGTGTCGTTTCTCCTCTTCAAATCAAGGAAATTAGTTTTTGAAGAATCCAGTTTGCTTTGAACTGAACCTCCCAGCTCCAGTTCCTCCTCTTGTCTTCCCTCACCTCCTGCTGCATGCAGCGGGGATGGCCTCCATGTTATAACAAAGCCGGGGACGCTGTCTTTGTCTCTGGCTTCTTATTGATCGCAGCTGCCCGCCGAGTGTTCATTTGAAACTAGAGGGGCTTTTTGTATCGACGGGCAGGCGACACGCTCCCTGATGAGCAAGAAAATGAAATGTCAACTCGGAGGAGTTTGACTGGATTTCAGCTAGAGCTCAAACATATGCAGCCATTAAACAAAACCTACTTCAACTTCCCAGAGTGCACCTCTGCTCTAAAACCATTCCACTTTTTCACTGTTTGTCATTTTGAGGTAAGAGAGATAAGAAATATTACTGCATCTGCTCAATGGGAGGGGTTTTAATAAAGGGTGAAGTTGGCTGGGAAGCAATGAAAGCACAAATAGTAAAGCTTTTCGTGGACATGGATTAAGATTCATAGGGCAAAAAAAAGCAGTTTCTTTTAATATCTCTCCTCTACTGTGTGTTATTCTCAGTTATGTCTGAAAACAGGTCCTGCTACAACAAAGTGTACTGCTGTCTTTCATGAAAGGCAAACACCTGCAGCTGAATTAAAAAACCTCAGCATTTAATGTGAGCAGAAATTCCTCTCTAATGAGTGGCAGCTTCTGTGTTGCTTTAATCAGATGAAAATGGCATCATTAGTGTGGCAATGCAAATGTTCTCAGTGTCGCAGCTCAACACCTCCTGCAGGAAGAATACAAGTCTCTGGTGACTGAAGGAACGGCGTTTTGCTGCAAAACAATTTCTAGCTGTCTCTCTAATCAGATTACTGTCCTCTGCTGACTCGGTGTTTTCATGCACAAATTGAATCACAACTCAATTCGGACAAGGAAATTGGTGACTTGCTCAACACAATCAGAGATGTAAATAGTGAAAACACAGAGCAGAGGACACTTTTTGTATCATCTCCCCTTTTCTTGTCCCTTTTGCTTTTTAAACCCCTATTCAAGCATTCAAAATAAATGGTTGAATGCAACTGGCATTAAGGAATGATACTGGCACATCCATAATGGGGATACCATTTTCAGCTGTTCACATAAAGAAATACGGTTTCCTGAGATGTGTTTGCCTCATTCTGCACATTGTGTTTCTGACCTTCCTCATTGTCAAATCACTCAGAAAATCAATCTTGTTTTGTGTCATATATTTATTTATTCTCCATTGCACTGCTCCTCAATCACATCTCTGTCCTTCTTTCCCTCGGAACATCCTTCATAAATGCAGTGATATTTGTCAAGTTTATTTTCTGCAGCTTTGACCTTAGCAGACGTAAACTCTGTTACTGATCTAGAACATGATACTTCATACAGTAGTGTTGCTTTAATATTCATTTGTGCATTGCATCAAATTGATCGGAAATGCTTTGTTTGTTTCCAATCCAGATGAAAAGCTGCCAATGAGCGAATTCTGTGCTAAGTAGCGGCCATGGCTGCCCATCGCATCGTCAGAGTGACGAGCAACAGTCACGTCCTGCCTCGCTGCAAGTCTGAAGGGACGCTCATCGACATTAGCGAAGGGGTCAATGGGGCCAGTCTCAACGATGTCAAAGGTCAGCTTTTCACTGTATTCACACCAGTTGTTATGTCTCTACTCTACTCAGTCATATGAGGAAATGAAACCCTATTATTCTCTCTCTGGCTCTTTCACTTCACTGGTTGCATTAAAGCTTTGTTTACATGCTCCATATACGCTAATGATGTCAACTAAAAATAGAGAATTGTGCAGTACATTATGCAGTTCATTTGCTCATATGTTTGCTTACTGATCTACAACATGTGTCCTTGCTTTCAGAATGAGTAAAGGTTTGTTTTTTTGGGGCAATTTGTATCACATATTTTGTACTTCCTGAACCCTTTGCTAGACCCTGTCTGATCTGTAGTACCCTCACCTCATTATTTCAACTGGCCCATTACATTTGTCTGATTAAGAGCATTTAACTGCAGTATTTTGATGAATCAGCCATTGAGTGCACCACTTTGTAATCAAGTTAGAAGACCATCACTCATGTTAGTAGATTAGATCTGCTAATATCTTCTTTCCTTTTCAGTGCCTTCTCCCAGTGCCTTAAGGCTGGACACTTCCTCCTCCTATGGAGCAGCGCAGGAAGTGGTCGCCATAAAGGATTACTGCCCGAGCAGCTTCACTACGCTGAAGTTCTCCAAAGGGGATCGCCTCTATGTGTTGGACACGTCAGGGGGGGAGTGGTGGTACGCGCACAACAACACGGAGATGGGCTACATCCCTGCCGCCTACGTGCAGCCGCTCAACTTCGGGAACTCTTCGCTCAGCGACAGCGGGATGATTGACAGTCTTGGGGAGGGGTACGAGGATGGGTCGAAGGAGTTTGGAGGCCTAGGGGAATGGACAGGGGTTTCCCTTAAGCCTTCCCCAATTTACAACAATACTCCCTTTGCTGTGAACCCCTTTATTAAAGATCAAAACTGCAAAGATTCTGGCGTTAGGAACTCAACGGACCTTATTCTATTTGATGCACTGGCATCTCCGTCATCTTGCTCAAACTTGACCTCTAGTACAATCATGACCAATGGGTTCAGCAGCTGCCACATTAACAGTACACCCCCCACAAGCCCAAATCAAGAGGTTGTACCTAACCTCCACAGGGATAATCCGTTTTTCAGGAGCAAACGTTCCCACAGTCTCTCAGAACTGTCCGTCCTGCAGGCGCAGTCCAATCCATCCTTACCTTCTTCGGGGTTCTTCTCAGGCCTTAAGGCTCCTTCCCCGGAGCAGTTTCAGAGCCGGGAGGACTTCAGGACTGCTTGGTTGAACCACAGAAAGCTAGCCAGGTCTTGCCATGACCTTGACTCTCTGGGTCAGAGTCCAGGGTGGGGCCAGACGCAGCCGGTGGAGACCAGCATCGTGTGCATGTTGGACTGTAACGGAGGCGTTGTTCAGCTCCCGGACACCCAAATCAGCATTCACATCCCTGAAGGCCACGTCAGCAATGGAGAACACCAGCAGATCTCCATGAAAGCCTTGCTTGACCCTCCTCTGGAGCTCAACACAGATCTCTGCTCCACAGTGAGCCCTGTAGTGGAGATCAAGCTGAGCAACATGGAGACAAAGTCCTTCCTCACGTTGGAGATGAAGGTATCGGTAACAGTCAAGAAGGAGAGTTGTCACACTGCGGATGTGCTTTGCGTTCGCAGTGACTGCAAAGAAGGGCCTTACACGCCGATCCTTAATGCGTACCTTTACAAGGACACAGTCCAGGTGCAGCTGGATGGTCTGGAGCCGTGCATGTATGTGGCTGTTGTTGTTAAGTCCCAGTACATCAGCCACAATACAACTGTTTGGGATCATGTGCAAAGGAAAGTAACTTTGGGCGTCTACGGACCCAAGCACATCCACCCGTCGTTCAAGACAGTCGTGGCCATGTTTGGGCATGACTGCGCCCCTAATACCTTGCTGGTAAACGAGGTGGGTCGCCTGGTGAGTGCTAGCCCGCCGGTGGCCCTCCAGCTTTGGGGCAAGCACCAGTTTGTGCTGGGGTACCCTCAGGACCTCCTGCTGGGGTTGTACTCCAACATGTCTAACTACGAGGTGAAGTCCTGCGAGGGGACGGGGGTGATTCGGGGGTTTCAGGTCAAACTGGGGAAAGTGAGCAGGCTCCTTTACATGATCACATCGCACAGTCCAGACAGCATTTCAGATTTTACACTCAGGGTCCAAGTTAAGGACGCACTTGACTGCATCCTCACGCAGTTCTGCGTCCAAACACCACCACCGCCACCCAAAACCGAAGCAAGGATATCAGGCCAGAGGAGGTTTCTAAAAAAGAGAGAGGTGGATAAGATAGTCTTATCACCGCTAGCCGCCACTTCAAAACACCCAAAGTTTCAGGACCGGTGCATCATCAACCTGAAATTTGGCAAATTGATCAAAACAGTGATCAGGCAGCACAAGAGCATGTATCTGTTGGAGTACAAAAAGGGGGATGTTGTTGCTTTGCTCAGCGAGGAGAAAATCAAACTGCGAGGGCAGCTGCGGACTAAAGAGTGGTACATTGGATACTATCAGGGGAAGATGGGACTCGTCCATGCCAAGAACGTTTTAGTTCTGGGTAAAGTCAAGCCCATTTATTGGATCGGGTCGGATCTAACGACCACAGTGCTGCTGGAGCAGATCCTGAAGCCTTGCAAGTTTCTTACGTACATATACGCAACAGTGAGGACGGTGTTGATGGAGAACGTGGGCAGCTGGAGGGCGTTTGCAGATGCACTCGGATACGGGAATTTGCCGCTGAATTATTTTTGCAGAACAGAGCTGGACAACGAGCCGGAGAAAGTGGCTTCGGTTCTGGAGAAACTCAAAGAGGAGTGTACGAACACGGAGAGCAAGGAGAGGAAGTCCTTCCAGAGAGAACTAATGATGGTGAGAGCAAGGTTTTTATTTCTTAAAACGTTCTGTTCCTCAACCAGATTGTGTTTTTTTGAGAAACAGACAAGTGTTTTTGAGCAGCAGTTTGAATAAATCTAGGACATTCGGATATCCAAGTTTTGTTTTTTGGTCAATGAGACTTAGGAATCCTTATTTTCCTTAAGTTTGAAAGTACACAACTGACCTTTAAAAGTGTTTCCAGGGGGATGAATACTGTACTGCCCCCTGCATAAAGCAATGGGATGCTGCCTAAATTAGGTCTACATTTCAATAGTAATTCATCCATAAATCCCCCCAAAGTTGTGAAGAAAGCCTTTGGCAAGTTCTGAGAGCCATAGGTGATGTCTTGAACAGTGAATCCGATGATATCAAACAGAGAAAAGCTGTAAATTCTCCCACTTGAGACCTGAAAACAGGCTATATATTGCATCTTTGCTTATTGAATTACTTAATGTGTTATTCTCTTTGTATTTCAGTGTAAATTCAGGATCACTAAGTTGTCCTTGAACAGAATAATGGCAGTCATTAAAGTCCTAGAAACACTAGCATTGCCCTCCAACTGTTAGATTGCTGCAAAGGCATTCATGCTTGGCAAAAGCATTTCCTGCACCGGTAAATGTTAAAGTAAATTGTCCGGCATTATTGTGACACTGCTGCAACAGCTATTATGCTCAAATGATGTCCATTAGAGAGAGAGCATTCCTCGGATGGCTGCTTCATCGTTAGTTAAGCTTTGTTGGAGCGAAAAAAGAACACAAATGTAATTTAATACGCAGTCAGAGTCAATCGCTGTCTGATTGATTAAAGCTTCTCTGCAACATGATTTATTTCCCCTTCAGCAGTTGAGACACAGTCTGAGTGTAAACTGGAAGGATTTCATGTTAATGCTCCATCACGTGAATGGTAAATAACATGTGTTACAGCCTGAGGAGGCTGACACAGGAGGAGTGAAGCGGGGAGGAAATCCTTTAAAGGGAAGCGAAGAAATACAACTTCAATCTACAGTTTGAGAGAAACACACGTCGGCCTCGATGTGTTTTCTAAGTCAGCACCCACTCCCTGCGGGAAGCAAATAGTCCTGGGATTTCTCCCCCCGCCAGAGGCTATTACTCAGTTATTTTGCTAAGTATGTTTTCAAACCTCTGTTTATCGAGGCAGAGGTGAGGAAGCTGTTAGCAGCAGCTGGAGTTAAAGGGCCTTGCTAAATGGGATTTTGACAGTAACTGTTTAAGTATTTAGTGTTGTTGTTCATGCTTTCTACCTTAAAGTGTTATCCATTGCCACTTACCTGCAACCAGTGTTAAAGGAAGTATTCACATCCTTTACTTAAGTAAAAGTGCTTTCAAAGTGTTTTAAAGTGGGTTTCTTTCAAATAATGAATGTAACTTATTCCTGTTTGGATCTGAATTTAGTTTTTAATCTACTACACTTCTAGTATTTGCTTTATATCTTCAGAAAAGTGGAGTGATTTAGGTCCAGGATTTTACATCTAGATGCATCTGAAACTTGTTTCCTGCAACAAAAAGTTGCTGCTCAGTTCCCTGCCGCACTATAAACCAATCCTGGATCAGGATGTGTGTGTGTGTGTGTGAAAGTGTGTGAGTGTGTGTCCCCTGCGACATTTTCCCCAGAGAGCATTAAATTGTCCTCATGCTGCAGGATCAGGGTCCAGTGAATCACACAGGCTTGAGTTACTAAATCTTCCAGAAAGAGAGAAAAGCCGTCTTATGTAATTGTTGCTCAAGAATAAAACCCTGCAGTGAAGAACCTCTGGGTTCAAAATCCTCCATTAACAAACAAACCTTTCATTCTTCTAATAATGAGGCTTTTATTCTGCACTTCAAAAATTCACTGAGAAATGTTCAGAATAAAAGTTACCCAATATGTTATTCTGGTGTTTCCCAGGAGCACTTCACTCACCAAGACCAGAGATATGATGTTGCTTTGTTTGAGTTTATTGGAATGAAATAGTCTTTTAGAATCAAGGAGTGATGTGTTTTCTGTAATGAGAGAGGAGGCAGACACTCTGTTGTGATTGGTCCTACCCCTTAGCCTATCACGTACAATCTGTTGGAGCGCAATTGTGACACATGATGCCATAATGTTACAGAAGTAAACAAAGGAGTCCAATGGAGGCGTTTCAGGACGAAGGGGAGTGTGTGTGTGTGAGGGAATAATTTAAAGTAAAAACGAGCTATAAGAAAATAACAAAATTGATATGAACAGTTATGGAGGTTCTCAGGGTTTGTGTTTTAAAAGCAGCGACAGGTGTTCTCAGGTGAAATGTGAGCAGGCATTGATCAGGACGGGCTGGGGGCCTCGGGGGCATCCGACACCGCCCTGTGGATCTTTTATCACCACGGCTTGAGTTACTGGGACAAAGTAGAGAGCCTCCGCTGTTTTTCAGCTGGAGGAGAGAGCTGTTTAATAAAACATCCTGCAGGCCGTAATCCATCCTCTGCCTGGAGACTCTCGTTAAACCAATGACTGAGAAGACTCAACAGATAATTATCTTTCTGCTGTGACACATAGTGAACATGTTGATCAGGCGCTGAATATTTCAGTTAATTGCAACAAAAACTAAAAATGTGTCTGAGAAATGTGAGCTCCTCTGCATATTGTAGCTTCAATGTGAAGTATGTCACATTACAGTGTCTGTATGTATTACTGGGGAATTTCAGAATTGCAAAAAAACGTCTCATTCTTCTGGGTTTCCCTTTCTTTGCTTCTCTACCTGTGAGTGTTATCCCATAATAGCTTTTGGAGGTGCAGCTCGCTCGGTGACAGGCGTGCGGTCAGCTGTCAGCTCCGTCTGCTCCGAGGCTTCCTGCAGGTCTCAGCATATCGGATGATTTTCAGACGCTTTAGTCTCAAACCGAGCAGATTTATCTATTTTTAGAGCAGAATCATGTTGTCAGCTAATAACGTGCACCACACCGACCAAAACCAGGCTGCAAACGGAGATCAAATATGTGTGGTGTGTTTACTTGTAAATGTACGGCATGATTCATACATGCAACAACCTTATGTCATATATCAACGTTTACTAGCATGAATTAATTGTCATGCATTGGTCAATTTGGCATTTTGCTGCTATTTTGCTTCCATAACATGTCGTCTTTCAGAAAAAGCAACTCAAATACACCTTTGTTTTAAAATGTTATACTAACTTTGTCTATTTGCTTCTGATTCCACAGTTTCTCTATTATTTGCTCAATGTTTTCACTTAACAAATGACCAAAAAACACAAAAATATGTAATTGAGGGAGAAATCAGTATTACAGTAAGTGTTGTCTTTTCAAATCCGATTGGAGTGATTGAGGACATCTCAGCACAGACCCTGAAATAAATGTTTTTTCTATATTCTCGTGGATGTGAGTAATCAGACGGGATGAATCACATCGTGATGCGTTCAGGGTGCTGCTGCTTATTATTTTCCTAAAGGCCATTAAGGCAAATCTTTTCTGAGGAGTTTCACGCGACACTCACCTCTGATGTGATCTAATGAAGCCATTAATAAACTGCTGAGCTGGATTGAAGAGTTATTTATTTCATAAAGCAGCGCATAATCCATCAATACGTTCCCATGCCTTATGTTGACAAGTCCCATTACATTTACCATCACTTCAGATTCCTCCATTTGTATTAGTGCATCATTTGGTTCCTGCATTTTATTTCTTGTTTGCAGTATTTTATTTTTTCTTGTGCCATTTTATTTATTACCAACACTGTATAAACTGTCTGCAAAACTCAATTCTGCACCTCATCTGTGAACTTTCCTGGAGTCTGGGCTGCCTTGTTCTTGATATTTACTCTCAATTTCTAGCTTTTCATGTATATTTTTGAGTATAGTTTGAAATATCTTTTAGTAAAATCCCCTCAAATGTTTGTACGAGCTTGTCCAGATCACAGTGAAAAAGAAGGAGACACATTTCCAGAGTGTATCCGCTCGCTTGCTGCTTCGGCAGAGAGAAATCTCCTGCAATGAGCCTGAAAGGTATCACCGCAGGACACGGCTTCACTTTGAAGTGTGTGTGTGTGTGTGTGTGTGTGTGTGTGTGTGTGTGTGTGTGTGTGTGTGTGTGTGTGTGTGTGTGTGTGTGTGTGTGTGTGTGTGTGTGGTGTGTGTGTGTGTGTGTGTGTGTGTGTGTGTGTGTGTGTGTGTGTGTGTGTGTGTGTGTGTGTGTGTGTGGTGTGTGTGTGTGTGTGATGTGTGTGTGTGTGTGTGTGGGTGTGTGTGTGTGTGTGTGTGTGTGTGTGTGTGTGTGTGTGTGTGTGTGTGTGTGGTGTGTGTGTGTGTGTGTGTGTGTGGTGTGTGTGTGTGTGTGTGTGTGTGTGTGTGTGTGTGTGTGTGTGTGTGTGTGTGTGTGTGTGTGTGTGTGTGTGTGTGTGTGTGTGTGTGTGTGTGTGTGTGTGTGTGTGTGTGTGTGTGTGTGTGTGTGTGTGTGTGTGTGTGTGTGTGTGTGTGTAGATACTGTATGCCTGCAGCAGCTGCTTTTTTATCTTATCTCCGGGTGGACACACGCTGCCTTTTCTGCTCTTGATAAAACGTTTTTTTTTTTTTTAAATCTCGCCTACAGTGTGTTTTGCAGTCAGCTGCTGTTATTAACTCTCAGACTCTACTTTAAACCGGGTTAGCTGCATATTTACAGCCTGAGGGTCAGCACTACTTACAGCAGGGGGATTATATTCATACTCTCACACATAAAGAAAGAGGTTTTTCTTTAGAAACTGTGTTTAACCTCTTAACGTTGGTATTTAGCCCTGTGGCCACTTTCAAGACAAACAGGACTCTATCTAATGAGGCATCATGTGACAATGCAGGATAGGAGAGGACCACAAACACACATTTCCTACACAAATGTTGAATGTACCCCTCTGTGTCTCTCCTCCTCCAGGCGCTGCTGAAGATGGACTGTCAGGGTCTGGTGGCGAAGCTCGTGCTGGACTTCGTGCTGCTGACCACGGCGGTGGAGGTGGCGTCCCGATGGAGGGAACTCGCAGAGAAGCTGGCTCGAGTGTCCCGACAGCAGATGGAGGCATACGAGGCTCCGCACCGAGACAAGAACGGACAACTGGACAACGAGGTGAGTGCTATGTATTGATTCCTCATTCAGTTTGTGACTGCTGCGGTGTTACTGTATCTGTTAACAATACAAAATACAATCCGTCTCCTTCACCGTTTAGTCCATGTGGAAGCCGGCCTACGACTTCCTCCTGACGTGGGCCGCCCACGTGGGGGACAGCTACCGGGACGTGATCCAGGAGCTGCACCTGGGCCTGGACCGGATGAGGACCCCCATCACCAAGAGGTGGAAGCACCTGACGGGGACGCTGATCCTCGTCAACTGCCTGGACCCGCTGCGGGGCGCCGCCTTCTGCCCCACAGGGTACGGAGACTTCGCTGTGTGAACATCCACCTGTAGAGCTTTTGAAAAGCCTGTCCGCTTCGAGAGACACTGGAGATCAGCGTCTTGGACTTTGAGGACAATTTCAGGTCAGATCTGCAGGTCCTGGTCTTCTTTTGGGAGTATTGGATTCAGTATCATCGATTAATAGATGTTCAAACACCGTCGAAAGGTAGTTGGTAATGAAAAAGTCAAAGTCAAAAGGCGCATTCACAACGCAGTACTTTTCCCACAAAGGTTCATGAGAACTCTTTAGTTCTCATGAACTAAATACAGATCGCGTTCACACCGGAATAAGTCCCTGGGGGAGGATTACGGCCCGTCTACACTACAGGCGTCAAAAAAGCTTGAAGCTGGGCGTGTCTGAAGCTTGGCGATTTTTTGCGACCAACGCGACCAACAACCAATCACATGAATCTCCCGCCCCCGACATACAAAGCAATAGCAATGTTAAAACGAAGTAAACTGGATATAAACTCCCCAAACAGGCGAAAACCTACCAGTTTCACCCACTGTCTCTGCCACCTCCCTCCATGCCTGGCTCCTCCGGTTTGTATCCCGGTAAATAGTTCTGGTCGGAAAGAACCGGGTGATTTGCTACCATAATTTCTCGTTTGGAATATGAGGAAATTACCTGCGTAGTCTCTCCCAGCTTGCACGCGGTTTGATTGGCTAGCGCTTGTACTGGCGGGATTTGCATAAACGGGATTTGATTGGCTGACGCCAGCTTCGAGCAAGCATCGAGCCTCAAAAGTTGAACATTGTTCAACTTTTGACGCCGATAGACGCTCGCGATGCTTGCAACGCCTTGCCATGCTACCCACAATGCAGTTCGGCGAAGTTTGAAAATATCCTACGTCACCCCATTCAAATGAATGGGCGAAGCGTTGAAAGCATTTTTTGACGCCTGTAGTGTAGACGGGCCGTAGGCAAATGAAGCCGCTGACGTTACTTCTTCTTCTTCTGCTTTGGGTTTACTGGCAGGCCGCAAACCACTTCACGGCGTATACTTTCGCCCAAAGTCCCCGGCCGGAAGTCCCTGGAGTTGGGGACTGGCTTCAGTAGAAGCTGCTGGGAGTCCCAGCAGCTTCTACTGAAGCCTTCCGAGTAAATCGGCAGAACGCCGACACCTCCTCATCTCCACCGCTCCCATGTTTTATTTTGTGTTGCCATAAGTTAGTCTCTCTGCGTTTCTGCGCTGGGCTAATGCTAATGCGAGGATAATAAAATGGCGGCTTCACAAAACTTTTTGGGAGTTTTACAGGGGCGTGGTTTGCAATCCTTCCAGCCAATCAGACATAGGAACCTTTTTCTCCCACGAAAGTCTCTGCTCTCTAGCAGGGACGGAAAAGGGGGTGAAAAGGTTCTCATGAACTAATTTTAGTTCCGGCTCCTCTTGGTGTGAACGCAACATTTCGGAACTATATCGGAACTAAAGTGGGAAAAGTACTGCGGTGTGAACGCGCCTAAAGTGATGCCTCTTATTACATGAATCCTTCTACCTTTTTACTCTTCTTCATCTTTTTGTCAACTCACTGTTTGTCTTTAACACTTTCTGTATATATTTTTCAAGATTTCGAATTTATTGCAGTTTGTTTAAGTTGTTTTTTCCGTCTCCAAACCTTCCTCAGGACAACAGCAGAGACCTCAACCACTGCAATACATAACCTCACAAACTGTGACCTTTGGCCATCTTTAAACACTCATTTGATCCCCATACTGAACATTTGTTTCCAAGCCAAACAATGCTAACTCTACATGTGTCGCTTTTACAGTTTATCTTATGCAAGATATACTTAGAAGAAGAACAATACAGAGGATGTGTTTCCACAGTACTATTGTGGACATGTTTTGTGATTCACACCAGGTTTCAGCTGTGTCACAGAATCACAATCTAATATGTTCTTTCCAACTAAAAACCAAAAGGAGCATGCACACCTGGATGTTAAGCCCAAAACATCCAGATAATAAAATGTTTGAGTATTAAATTCTTGCATTTATTCTTAGTGCATCCAATATTTTCCAGATTTCCAACTTTTGCACACACAAATGTTCTCTTTAATTAAAGATGATGTGATAAAGATAGACCTTAAATGTATTTCTTAAAGTCCTGCTGAAGGTGATTTCATGTCACTTTTTTCATGCAAAATCAGTATTTTCTAAACTTCTAAAGTGCAGCATGAATACAATTGTTATCATTTCATGGAGAGTTAATGTTTGAATTAAAACAGTATAAGTCAGAATTAACAGGTGACCACAGTCTATTGGTTAAATAAATGAAATATGTGACTTTAAACTGTGAAAACTAGTATCAAAAAATATCTAGTTGTTGTTAACTGTATATTTAAAGAAGCTTAACTTGTGTTTTTGAGCATGTTCTCTTTGATTTTGTGCTCTCAGCAAGTATAATGAATTGTCTTTGATGCTTTTGTTCGTCATTTCTACATCTGTTTTCATTTCTCATTCAGTATTTGTTGTTCTTGTTTCATTTCAATATGTTTTGTGACTGCTGCAGTGTTGCTATCTGTTTGGATTATGAACAGAGAAATGTGCGAGGAGTTTATATATTTGTACTAAAGCCTGTCTCTGATCTGTTTCTGTTCAGAAAGTTTCAATAAAACTGGAAATGAAAAATAATATGCAAGAACCATCACTGTGTGTGTGCATGCAGAAGAGGAAAAGACTCTATTTTAAGTTTATCCGGACATTAAATCGCTGATATTTGTAATATTTGTAGTAAAAACTACATGAAGATCTAATGAAATTGTCCAAAACAAAATTGGCTGTTAAAGTTCTTATTTTTACACCTTTTAAGTGTTTTTATGACTGGAATACATTTTCTTTGCATACTATAATTGCATTTGATGTGGAGTTTGCATGAATTTCGCATATGTTTATGTATAAGTTCAAATGCATGAGCAAAATCTCCAAAACCTGAAGCTTACCTGACTCATTTAGACTTTTACTTTTGACATAAATCCAACAAAAAAGACAGCTTTAGATATGTTCTTGTTGCCATGCTAGCAGTTTCCCTCCTTATGCTAAGCTTATACCGACATCTCTGTATTTATGAGATGAAACTGAAATCCATCTTCTCTTCTAGCTGTGCCAAAGACAGCAAACATATGTTGCTAAAAATGTCACTGACAAAGGGTTGCAGAATGTGCAGATTATGCCTCCACTGTGACTGCCTGCAGGAGAGCGTTCATGAGTGAATTGTATCATGTGTTTCTATAAAATCCTCACAGACAATACAGCACATTCCTGCATGTAAACACACACAGAAAACACGTCAACATATCACACATGCACAAACACTACATGTGAATGTACCCAAACCCATCCTCACATGCTCTCTTTCCCAGCCACACAAACATCCTCTACTCACTCACACACACTCAGACTTAATGTGCTTTAATTAAAGCAGATAATTATTCACCCTGAGAGGACAGGCCACCTTGACCGAGCCTCGCTGACTCACCCTCAGCATTCCTTCCCGTCTCCTGGATACTTGAAACCCTTTTTATTGCATGCACAAGGGAATAAAAAAGACGCTTAATAAGCTGCTATATATTAAAAAGAGTGCATCAATCTCCTCACACTGTGCGCAGACAGGAATGCTGTTCCCTTTGCACCCAAAAAGAAATATGTATGTGGAGATGAAAACTTAAACCTGGTGCTTTCTCACCTCCTGAAGATTCTGCATGAATTAAGAAGATGCACATTGTGCCGAAATCAAGAGGAAAACAGTTGAATTGATCACAAAATGTAACCACAGGCTCACAGGTATGAATCTGTAGTTCATCTAATCAGACGATCAGAGTGATGTGAGAGGGGACGACGTGATTTTTACAAGCCGCTCTATATTCTGGACCAATTGGAGACACAGTTGAAAAGGAGAGCAGGTGGTGAGATGAAAAGCTTTGGGACGAGCCGCCGGCCTGTTTCATCTGCTTTTATCAAGTGTTTGTGTGGAAGCAGGCCAGGCTGGTTTCACCTTGTGGGTCTGCAGAAAGAATAAAGAAAAGTCCTTTATCTGCTAAAGGAGTATTTGTTTTGAACTTGACTTTGAAGGGCCCTCTTCTGCTTTTACGATGTTCCCTTCCATGTGGTGTGTCAGTAAAGGTTCAAATGCTTTTGTTCCCTCCAGGTTTTGTCTTTAAATCTTCTTGTGCTTTTTTGCATTGCTTTGGGTTTTCTTTCAAATATGTCCAGTATGATCTTGATTATTTGTATATCCCCCCTTGTTGCATCAGGTGGAGCACAGAGGGTTAACCTGCTTGTAGTGGGAGAAGCATGTCGTGTTTTTACTTTAACCTTTCTCAACATCTGCCAGCCGCTTGCCGTCTGTTACCTGAGGAACAGCGAGGAGGAGTGGAATACATTAGAGGTAAATAGGCCTCTTGTTTTATGGATGAGACGATGTGTGGGTGAGGAGACACATTCAGGAGCCTTGTTAGAGGGAAAGTGTGTGAGCTTATAAAAGAAGGGTGTGTGTGTGTGCATGTCTACGCCCTGCTTATAATTCCTTTCATCGATCTCACACACTCTCATTAGCAGGGGGATCAATGGAGGAGGAGGGCAGGGGGGACAATTAGCGTCAATGTTATTGTCTGTTTGTGTGTGTGTGTTCAGGGACTGCTTTAACTTATTAGAGCCTCTGCAGGTGTTTTACTCCATTCTTCAACATAATGAGACCGTGTTGAAGGTTTCATTTGAGTATTTGGAGCAAACTTAATGTACAGATGGCTGCAAAGACACTCAAACCTGCTGTAATGCAAAGCAGTAGTCTAAAAGTTGCTGTTTAAATAAAGTTATAAATCATCTAACAGGAGTCTGTCAATCAAGCCGGATCTGACCACGCCCACATAGGCCAATGCGGAAGTAAATAAGCCAGGTGAAAAATGCCTCGGTGTGTGTGTTTTGGGGTTTTGGGGGGTTTAAAGCGACATTAAAGTCAAGTTAATAACAATTATACAGCCTTAGGGTGTATTTACAGTCTGTGTCCTGCACTATGAGGCACCATCTATCTGCAGACCCTCGATTTGGACACGTCTTCAAACACCAAAGAAAAACTTGAAAACACTGTAAACCCGAACGTTCAAAATAATTAAATAGATTAATTAGTGTAAACTTAAATTTAAAAAAAAGTTCTACTAACTTCAATATATTCAGTTCCTGTGACTGTTCTTCGTTTTTGAGTTAAGTAAACTGATAATCTTTGATTAACTTGAACTATTTGGCGGATTAAGTAAGCATCACTTAAACATATACATTGAACTGTACTCATTTCTAATGCTTATT